CCAGCTCCAGAAGCACCTCCTGCAGCATGCCCCGTAGCTCCAGCAGCACGGCTACAGCGCCGAGCGTACCACTCACGTAGCCGCTGCGGAGAGAGGGGCTCCCGCCGTGACGGGACACCCAGAGGACCTTCAGACTCAGCACGCTCAGGAGCAGCACCCCCAGGCTCAGCACCCCCAGACTCAGCACCCTCAGACAAAGCAACCCCAGGCTCAGCACTCCCAGCAGCACCTGAGTCGACAGCTACCTCGACAGGCTCGACAAGGTCTACCTGGGACATACCTGAGGGGGCAGGACCCTGAGGGGGGAGGGGGTCTACCGGTGGAGTACCGGGTGCTAGGAAGAGTGGCGGGGGGGGGAGAGAGGCGGTGCGGTAGGGAAAGAGATGGTAGTAAGACAGCGACCCATCAAACATGACGTCCTGAGAGGACAGAACATGACGCGAGGTGGGGTGGTAGAACTTCCACCCGGGTGCGTCAGGGGGGAAGCCAAGGAAGACGCAGGGAACGGCACGGGAGGACAGCTTGTCCGCTGAAGTATCGCCGACAAAAGCTCGAGATCCCCAGACACAGAACACAGACGCATCGCCAACCTCCCTCGTCCACCGCAGAGTAGGTGTGGTCTCCGGCAACGAGACACGAGGCTGAAGGTTGGTCTGATGCGCAGCGTACTGAACCGCGAACGGCCAGAGAACATGGGGAGCAGCCGCATGGATCATGGACGTACGAGCGACGTCCATGACCATGCCAATGCGGCGCTCTACAATCCCATTTTGCTGTGGGGAGGCCAGAAGCGTGAATGTCTGGCGGATGCCCTCCGCACGACAGAAGGCCCTCAGAATGTCGGAGGAAAGCTCACCACCTCTGTCTGAGTGCAGACGCAGAAGAGGAAGGCCGAGCCAAAACTCTCGTTGAGCTGGCCACGGGTACCGCGGATCCAGTCGATCAACACCTCAGTGACCTCACCCTTGCTGCGCAAGGGGAAGACTGCGGTGTAACGCGAGTAGTCGTCCACAACCAACAGGAAGTAACGCTCGTGACCCTGTCCACAGACGCGGGCTGGGCCCCACACGTCCATGTGAAGAGTCTGCAGGGGAGCCTCTGTCAGAGGGAACTCGGAGGAGTGAGGATCGGCGCGCTGCCTGCCCTCGACACAAGGAACACAGGTAGGGGCAGGCCCCGGAGGAAGGGGAGGGAGGGACCGGGGGAGACCAGAGACAAGGGTACGGGAGGCCATACCTCGAAGACGAGGCAGGGAGGGGTGACCAAGGCGGTGGTGCCAAAGGAGAGTCTCGTGTGACAGAGGACGACACGAGCAGGGGGCAGACACTGGACTAGACCTGGACGCGGCAGAAAACACCTGACCATACGCGGCTACCTGAGGAGACGCAGTAGTCAGTGTGTACAGACTCGACCCAGGCCGACGGGTGAACGTGGCCAGGTGGCGGCTCATCCGAGAGCAAGTGCAGTGGGTCACACGCTGACCTCCAGGGGTGAACTGGTCAACCCACGCGTCCTGGAGGTCAGCTCCACTCACCAAGTTCGTAGAGAACAAGGGGAGGTGGAGTCCCGACAGCAAGCCGGACGGGGCCGCAGGACACGGTAGAACCGTGGAAGAGTGCGCAAGGACTGGGCCCCCAGAGGGGTCAGCCAGGGAGACTGCGACAGGCCGACTGAGCGGCGTGAGTGTGGTGCTGTTGTGAAAGAAAGAGCGCGAAGCACCAGAGTCAAGTGTGAATGTGTGCAAGGCCTCAGTAGGTGCAATACTAGAGAGAGCAGACTCACCAGCACCTGGAGCAGCAGACTCACTAGTACATGGAGCAGCAGACGCACTAGCACCTAGAGAAGCAGCCTCAATGCCCGGGTCGGGCGGAGCACTCAGGTAACAGTCACCCTCAGCACTATCAGTCACAGCATACATGGCAGCAAGGAGAGCATTAAAATCAATATCAAAGATTGCAAGGTTCTGCCTAAGCAGATCACCCCAGCGAGGGAGCTCAACAGCGTCAGGGAACTGGGCGCGCCAGGCGTCAGTCAGGCGACCGAAGCAGCGCTGCGCAGTGTGTGGCAGCCCGCACGTCTCCCCACGGCGCCCGCCGGTGCGAAGAACGTAAGTGCAGGGACCAACACCCCCAGACCTCCCACGCCCAGCGTACCACTCACGAAGCTGCTGGGCCGACGCGGTCTCACGGGAACGCGGCTGCTGCTGGCGCTGGCTAACACCAAAGCCTCCACGCTGCGCGGCTCCACCTCGACCAGTACCACCACCGCCGCCACCTCCACCACCGCTGCCGCTGCCTCCATTGCCGCTGCCGCTGCCTCCACCACCCCACCGCCGCCACCGAAGCCCCCACTCCCGCCACCACCCCCACCTCCACCGCCACCCCCTCCACCCCCTCCACCGCCTCCACCACCGCCCCCACCGCCCCCTCCACCACCCTTGCCCCCCTTGCCCTTGCTGTTGCGGCGCCTCCGACTAGGAGCAGACACAGCCCCGACCTCCTCAGTGCCCACGAGGTCGACAGCAGCAGCAGAAGCAACAGAGGGAAGAAGGGGGACAGGGGAACACCCCTCAAAGAAAGGGGCGCGACGGTCACAGCGAGAAGCACCTATAGCTAAGATACTCTTCTCAGCCACAGTGAGGCGCTCCTCTAGCAGGTCGACAGTGAGCTCGGTGGGGCAAAGGGAGAGAAAGTGGTCCCTGACTGAAGCAAGGGAGTCAGGGAGGTGGGTGACTTGGTAGTAAAGGGTGATGTACATGGGGGGTGGGTTCTTGGCACAGAACTCAGTGGGAAGTGCAGCGCGGTAGCGGGCGTCACTAATGCGGAGGTGGGTAATGAGGTCAGCGACTGTGGCAAAGGCGGCAAGGTCAGGGAAAAGGTACGGCAGCATGAGGCGGCTGAGGGCAGCAGTGGCAGGGGAGGAGTAGCGTGCCACAACAGCGTCGTACAAAGACTTAGCAGTCTTGTACTGGCCAAAGTGCGCGCGCTCAGCAGACGGCAGGTGACTACGAACAGCAAGGCGAGCAACAGCATCACAAGTGGTCCACTGCGAGTGAACCGTACTGTCAGCAGTGGTAGCAGGTGCAGTAGAGACACCGGACGTGTGATCAAACAGGGATACCCCATCCCTAGAGTCATACTGAAGAAAAAGCTGCAGGTCGTCAATCCACACGTCAAAGTCAACTGCACGTCCCTCCGCATCAAAGGTGAGAACAGTAGGGCTAGCCATAGTATCAGTAGCAGCAGTAGCAGTAGTGGGAGCAGAAGCAGTGCAAGTAGAAGGGCAGCGCGGCTCGGCAGGGCGGCGCGGTTCGGCTGGGCGGCGCGGCTCGGCAGGGCGGCGCGGCCCGGCAGGGCGGCGCGGCGCGGCAGGGCGGCGCGGGTGCTTACCAGGGGCGGGTGCAGGGCAGGGCCGCAGCTGGCGGTTTAGTTCAGGGCCGCGACTGGGGCGGCAACAGGGCAGGGCCGCGACCGGGGCGGCTGCAGTGAAGAGCCGCGACTGGGGCGGCAGTAGGGCAGAGGCCGCGACGGGCGGCTTCAGGGCAGGGCCGTGACTGGGGCGGCAGCAGTGAAGGGCCGCGACAGGGCGGCTGCAGGGCAGAGGCCGCGACAGGGCGGCTGCAGGGCAGAGGCCGCGACGGGCGGCGGAGGCAGGGTCGCGACTGGGATGCGCCAGCGACAGGCGGCGACGGGCCAGCGACGGGCGGCAAAAGGCCGGGTCAGGGCCGCAGTGGGCGGCTAAGGCAGGGCCGCGACGCGTAGCGACGGGTCTGCGACGGGCAGGGACGGGCTAGCGACGGGCGGCTAAGGCAGGGCCGCAACAGGCCAGCGAAGGCAGGGCCGCGACGGGCCGTACTAGGGCAAGGCGCGAGGCGCGCTTCGGGCAGGGCGCGAGGCGCGCTTTGGGCAGGGCAGGAAAAAAAAATTCGTGGTGGGCCCTAAAAAAAAACGTTTCCACTAGGGAACCTGCTCAGAATACCATGTCAGAATAGTGAACGAATGAATGACTGAACTAGCAAGCAGGTGGGTACAAGTAGCAAACCTAAAAGTGTTGTACCCTATATGAACTACTCCACGACAGCGTAGATAGACTATAGCATATGAGTTTAACAATTCATATTCGGGTAACTTGCGTTTCATAAGGTTGAAAAGTTGCTTAGCACATTGCCCAAGATGCACCCTAACACTATTAAAGAGCTTCAGATTCACCTTAAAGCGACGGGCAACTTTTGGCAGTGTTGGGTTCAGAAGTTTTTTTTTTTAACCAGGCTTGCCAGCGCGAAAGTGCTGGCTGGCGAAAACCAGGATTTCGTGCGGACACTTTCCATCCGCAGTAACAGTTCGCCAGGGTTCTGGGTTTTGGGTGGGAAATGTGCACCGACGCTTTAAATTCTGACAATCGAAATATGACATGTACCTTTTCAACATATCTTAAAGCCCGAGTACAGCATGGTAATTTTCAAGTTCAAGATTCTTGAACTTGAAATCGCCAAAAACAGGGTTACCCTTCTTGTTTGTTGAAAACTCTCACGACCCCGGGCAATCTTCCTGCGACAACAAAATCCGAGAGCCCAAACACAGAACCGAAGCGATGATCGCCAACCATATGCACTGTTCACCACGCACATAACTTAGACACCAAGTAGTACTCGTAAACTAGGAGGCTCCAAGGCAAAAACTAGCGCTAGTTGGCAGAAGCGAGTCGTTGATAGGGTTTTTTTTTGTGCGAAAAGAAATTTACGTATCCACCCCAACCATCTTAGTTACTGCCTCCGTTCCGATTCTCCCCTAACGTCGCCGGTCTCGTGTTACAACCCATTCACCCGCTTACGTTAGTGAACGATTGTCGCGTTACTCGCGCCTTGCTTTCAAGCTCGCGTCGCACACGCAGGCTCTTGTCACACTTGCTGCGGTTCAGCCTCGTGTCACGATCGTACCATTTAGGCACGGGTCGCTCACGCGAATGCCGTACAGGTTCGCGTGACCTGCCGTTAGTCGCGTATGTTCCCCCTCGTTGCCGCTCTTTCCCACGTCATACCGCTTTCCTCGTCGCCCGCGCTTTCCCTCATCACCCTCGCCGACCCTCGCCTCTGCTTGTCGCCCGCACTTCCCGTCCTCGCCCTCGCTTCCCCGTCACCCGCGCTTCTCCTCATCACTTCCCCTAGTCGCCCAAGCTTCTTCTCATCTCTCTCTCTTCTCCTCAACGTCCTCGTTTCCCTCGTCGCCATAACGCTCTCGCTTCTCCCCGTCGCCCTCGCTTCCCCACATACCCGCCTCCATCTCCCCCACATACCACCCGCCTTTCTCCCCGAACACCACCCTCATTCTCCTCCACAAAACGCCCTCAAGGGGAGGGACAAAGGGGGATGGCCCTCGTCTCGCGCGCTCCTTCTCGTCACACGCTATTCCCCTCGTCACACGCTACTCCCCTTGTCATGCGCTCTTCCCGTCTCTTCATGCGCTCTTCCTATCTCGACATGTGCTCTTCCCTCTCGTCATGCGCTCTTCCCCTCTCGTCATGCGCTCTTCCCCTCTCGTCATGCGCTCTTCCCCTCTCGTCATGCGCTCTTCCCCTCTCGTCATGCGCTCTTCCCCTCTCGTCATGCGCTCTTCCCCTCTCATCATGTGCTCTTCAACTCTCGTCATGCGCTCTCCCCCTCTCGTCATGCACTCTTCCCCTCTCGTCATGTGCTCTCCCCCCTCTGGTCATGCGTTATCTCTTTTCCTTTAAACCTCTCTCTCTCCCTTCCTCCCATCCACACTATCTGCTTCCATACCGCTCCCCACCCTCATTCCTCTTGAGGGGAAGGGACTGAATGGGAGACACAGAGGGGGTAGGACAGAAGGGTAAGAGGATGTTTTTTTCCCTCACGCGCTTCCCCTCGTCGCCCTCACTTCCTTCAAATTGTTGTCCCCCCTCTCTGTTTTTCCCAACCTCCTGTTCTCCCACCAGCCCTGTTTACCCTCTGCCCACCCTCTGCCATGCTTCCCCCCACCCTCTGCCCTGCTTTTCCCCACCCTCTGCCCTGTTTTTCCCCACCTTCTGCCCTGCTTCCCCCCGCCCTCTGCCCTGCTTCCCCCCACCCTCTGCCCTGCTTTTCCCCACCCTCTGCCCTGCTTCCCCCCACCCTCTGCCCTGCTTCCCCCCATCCCCTTCAACCCTTCTCCCCATCCGCTTCCCCCCTTCCCCCCATCCGCTTCCCTGCTTTCCCCCATCCCTTCCCTGCTTCCCCCCATCCGCTTCCCTGCTTCTCCCCATCCCCTTCCCTGCTTCCCCCCATCCCCTTCCCCCTCTCCCCCCATCCCCTTCCCTACTTCTCCCCATCCCCTTCCCTGCTTCTCCCCATCCCCTGCCATGCTTCCCCCCATCCCCTGCCCTGCTTCCCCCCCATCTCGTTTCCCCCTTCCCCCCATCCCCTTCCCTGCTTCCCCCCATCCATGCGGAGATTCACTCTACAATAGTCGTGAGCTAGACTATGAGGTATTGGCACGAACTCTATGAGTGATCTTAGCTTTTCTTAGTTCCTTAGCACTTGCACATTCACGGGAGAAATTGGCAAGATTTTCCACTAGCAAAGTTTTGATTCCAAAATGATTTTAACAAGCAATGACAATAATGACCACATCAGGCACCTAGCAACTCTTCAGCTAGCCTGGTCGACCGCCAGCACAGCATGGTCGACCGCCTGCCAGCGTTGCGTAGCGGAGCCGCGCTAGCACTTCAGAAACGCGGCCTGCCAACACAGCAGGTCGACGGTGTGCCAACACTGCAGCAGAGCGGCTGTCCAGCGTTGCACCCGTAGAAGATAGCAGTGCGCATGTACGCAGGTGCGCGCAGACGATTGGACAGCCTTGCACCGTTGTGCATCCGTCGGCCCTGGTCTGCGCCTAACGAGCCACATCGACTTCGGGATACCAGCCCGAAGTCGCCTTCGCCATCGCGACATTGACGACGTTTGTGTGCCTCCGCAGAACTCGTCGGGCAGGTAACCTGGTCGACCTGGAAACCACCAGGTCGACGTCGACTTGCTCGGGGAAATTTGTACATGCTCGTCGACCACCCAGGGCTCTGGTCGACACCTCCCTCGTTGACCACATCTTCCGTCGAGGAATACCCTGGTCTACGGACCCCTCAGTCGACCAGCACTGTCAGCTGCTGTCGCCAAGCTCCCCTCGTCGACTGCCGCTCACATGTCCTACACAAGTCGACGGGCTGCTCCGTCGACCTCCCCGTCGAAGAGGGTCGTCGAGCTCATTGGTCGACGGCAACACCATAGTGATCCCCTGTGATCGGCCGGCTGCTTCTCCCGTATACCCGACCAGGACGTCGGCGTCACCCAAGCGAGGGCGGGGCCAACACTCCATTCCCGTTAACAATCCCCTGCCACGCTCACGATTGTTAACGACGAGCTCTGATCGACGAGCGCTGTTCGATGAGCCCCTCCTCTGATCGGCTATCGCGTCGACGAACTCTCAAACCCTGAGCGTTGTTCGACGAGCCCCTCCTCTGATCGGCTAGATCTGGACGTATGCAGGTCATCAGGTATATGAGGCAGCCCACCAGCTGTGCGTAGTCACCGCTAGGCTCAGCAGGCTCAACAGGTAGAGGAGTCGCTAGTCTGGGGTCGACTGCAAGGGGAGTGGCCTATGGAGAGGAGTAGCGAAAGCCGAACCGGTCGAGGATCTGGTGCACCAAGTGCGACCGAGACAGTGTAATGGTGCGCGCAGCTCTATCCCGTGTGATCTGCAAGCCAAGATAGTGACACAAGTCACCCAGGTCAGTGCAAGTGTGTCTCCTCTGCAGCTCGGCCTTCACTGAGGTCAGTGCAACTCTGTCAGCTGTGGCAAAGACGAGGTCGTCGACGTACACCAAAATGTATAAGGAACTACGACCAGAACGGACGAAGAGAGACGGGTCAGCGGAGGACGGAGCGAAGCCAAGAGAATGAAGAGTGGTGCGTAGCGTGTCGTGCCACTCGCGAGGCGCCTGTCGCAGACCGTAGACTGGCCGTCTAAGGCTCTACTGGGTGCCAGGAAGAAACGACCCACAGAAACGTGGAGGACGGCGCAACCAGATCTGCTCGTGGAGGCTTCCCTGGAGAAACGCAGTCGAGAAGTCCAGTGAGTGAAGCTCGTAGTCACGCTGTGCTGCTATGTGCAGTAGTACCCAAAGAGTAGTCATCTTCAGGGTGGGGGAGAAGGTCTGAAAGAAATCTACCCCCTCACGCTGACTGAAACCTCTCGCCACGTAACGCGCCTTGAAGACAGGCGGCAATCCAGGAGGCCGCTTCACCTTGAAGATCCACATGCCATCGGCGATATTCGACTCAGGAGGGGGAACCGCGTCGACGCAGGTGCCTGTGGACCTCCAAGATGCCATCTCTGCCTCCATGGCTGCTATCCACTGTGTGGCCCAGGGTCCCGAAACCGCCTCAGTGTAGGTGCGAGGATTCGGGATGTCAAACGCGTTTGGGTCACCCTCAGGGACTAACAGCATGGCACAGAGATCGGGAACAGCAGCAAGAAGGAAAGCTAGCTCAAACTGCATGTCCTCTAGGACGTCATAGCCAAAGGCAAACTCACCCCCAACGGACGGAGGACGGGAAGCGTCAGTGACCAACTGAGCAGCGCAGTCAAGGCGGTGGCTAGAGGCAAAGTCAAGGACAGCAGCGACAAGAGCTGAAACAGACGAAGGAGGAGCCGTAGGGTGGGTGACAAGGGAGGCCAATGTCAGAAAGATCGAACGAGAATGAATGAACTAGCAAAGAGTTGGGTAAAAGTACTAACCCTAATTGGGTTGTACCCCTTATGGGCTACCCCACTATAGCCTACACAAATGTAAAAGCTATAATGTTCTGACACACCCCCATCGGCAAAGTGGGGGAGAACAAGTGGTCACAAGACCAGTCAAGAAAAGCAAAGCAAGCTCAGGGTGGATCACAAAGTCACCACGCAGTCTGAGCACAAGCAAAGGGCCACAAGGCCAGTTCACATGTAGAGTGATATAAAGAGAACAAACAATACAGTGATAATATCATAGCAAGTGCAAGCATGCAGGTATATATATAGATCACAGTACAAGCAGAGTCAAGCAGCAAGCAAGTGAGGCAAAATAGGCACAATGCCTAACACAGTAGAGAAGCGCTGATGATCAACAGGCGGAAGTGCCTTGGTGAATATATCAGCAGTGTTGGCCCTAGTGGCCACGTACGCAAGACGAAGCTGGCCATGGTTCGCTCACATGCGGGTAACATAGCTGCTGGCATCACACGTGACGCGTGCCATGCTCGTGCAACAAGGCAATCATGGCCTTGTTGTCTACGTACAGAACTGGAGGCAAACGAGGCTGCTCTCCCAAGTCAGTCAGCAGGTAGGTGAGCCAGAGTAGCTCCTGTGCAGCCATGGCCCCTGCGTAGATCTCAGCCTCACAACTGGAGCTGAGATCCGAAGACGAGCGGGTAGACCGCCAGGAAACAGAGTCAGACCGAGGCTGAAGGTGTAACCTTGTGACGACCGCTGCGTAGCTGAGTCGTCAACCCAAGAAGCGTCAGTGTGACCAGTGAGTACAACTAGACCCCATCCTCCAAGCACGAGCCCCATGCCCGACGTACTGCACAAGTAACGCAGTACCCTCTTCGCAGCATCCCAGTGAACCTTTCGGTGCCTACCGTGAGCCACGTAGCAAGCCAGAAGGCTGAGAGGGTACGCGAGGTCAGGTCGTGTGCACGTCATCAGTTACATGAGGCAACCCACAAGCTCTGGGTACGGACCACTCGGCTCTACGGACTCGTCCGAAGGTGGAGCTGAGAGCGAGTGGCTGGTAGACAGAGGAGTGGGCTGTGGCGAGGAGAACTGGAAGCCGTAGCGCAGAAGGACCGAGTGCACCATGTGTGACTGAGTCTGTGTGATGGTGCGCCGTGCACTGTCCCGGGCGATCTGCAAGCCAAGATAGCTGCGCAGTTCACCCAGGTCAGTGCAGGTGTGTCTCTTCTGCAGCTTCGACTTCACAAGGGTCAGTGCCTCAGTGTCAGCAGTGGCAAAGACGAGGTCGTCCACGTACACGAGGACGTAGAACGGCGGCAGCGACGTGTCGGTGCGTAGAAACAGCGACGGGTCAACAGTAGAAGGAGTAAACCCCAGAGCCGCAAGTGTAGTCCTCAATGTGTCGTGCCACTATTGAGGTGCCTGGCGGAGACCGTAGACTGGCCGTCGGAGGCTCCACTGGGTACCTGCAGGAAACGACCCAGTGAAGCCAGGTGGGCGGCGCAGCCAGATCTCCTCGTGCAGGCTGCCCTGCAAGAAAGCTGTGCTAAAGTCCAGAGAGTGAAACTCGTAATCACGCTGAGCAGCAACGTGCAGCAACACCCGAAGAGTAGTCATCTTTGGGGTGGGGGAGAAGGTATGGAAGTAGTCAGCCCCCTGTCGCTGACTGAAGCCTCGAGCAACGTAACGCGCCTTGAAGGCAAGCAGAGAACCCAGCGGCCGCTTCATCTTGAAAATCCACATGCCATTGACTATGTTCACCCTAGGTGGGGGAGCGTTGTCGACGTAGGTGCCTGTGGACTTCCAGGATGCCATCTTGGCATCCATGGGTGCCTGCCACTGAGAGGAGTAAGGACCCGTAATCGCCTCTGCGTAAGAGCGCGGGGTCGGGATGTGTGGTGCATCCGGGTCTCCCTCAGGGGCAAGCAGCATGGAAGCGAAAAGAGGTACAGCAGCTGCAAGACACTCAAAGTCCTCCTGCCTATCCTCAAGGACGTCCGTGCCAAGAGCACACTCACCCCCGACGGACGGAGGACTGGCGGACTCAGACTTATTAATAAGAGCAGTGGCGTAGTCTAGACGACAGGCAGCGGCAAAGTCAAGCAGCTCAGCAACGAGAGCAGATGCAACAGCTGACTCAAAGGAAGGGTCAGTGACAGCAGTGGCGAGAAGACGAGAGGCAGTGGGACTGGCAGCACGAGCGCTGTCAGACTCAGGGTGAGGGACCTCAGAAAGAGAGGACTCAGGAGGAGCAGGCAGAGGAACACGCAGTGGAACAGAGGAAGGACGAAGTGCCATAGCGTGCGTGCCAGGGACAAGAGGAAGACGCGAACGAGGAACGCGACGAGAAGTGCGAACAGGCGAGACAGGACGAGACGGAGGCTCACGACGCTCTGTAAGCCAGCCAGACTACTCAGTTTAAGGAGAAGGAACAGGCAGTGGGGAGGCGGACAGCAACGGCGGCTGCATCTGGTCAGGCGGTGGAACTAGGAGGGGAGGAGTAAGGCTAGTAGAAGACGGAACACCAAGAACCTGTTGAAGCAGGGGAACGAAGTACTGTCGCGGCCGCACAGTGCCGCAAGCACCTCCACCTCCAGGGTCAACGGCTCCAGCTCCTGCAGCTTCCGCGCCAATGCCTCCAACTCAGCTCCTCCAACTCCAGCTCCTCCAGCTCCAGCGCCAGCGCCTCCAGCTCCAGC